CAAATACGCCATACGATGAAGACAGCAAACAGACATTCCAGAAACAGCCCTTATACCTAACTACCGGGTGTTTTTAATGCTCCCTTCCTGGAATGACTCAGTTAAACACCGGCAACGGTCAACGGGCCGCAAAGGACTTGTCTGGTCCACCTGGAGCTCAACTTCTTCAAAGGCACATCCTGACCCCCTCAGTGTTGTTGCAAACAGACCAGTGCAACCCAGAGGCTCCTAACTCCACCCACATTCCAGAAAGAAGCTTTCTGAAGCGGAGATCCCTGTCTCCATCCAAACACTGAGAACTACAAGCTCGTGGTCTGGGCCCCAGAATCTGCGTGTATTCTATCTTAACAGAACCCGCAATGATGCTACGTGCCTATAGATACACACAATATACAAACGATGGCTCCTTATTCGCAGAAACTCGACTTAGACCGGCTCTGTGCAGCTCAAATACTCAGAACTGAATGAAGTATTTCCAATACACCATGAAAATACATTCAATAGTTAAAATCATTACAGAGCACGAGAAAAAGATTAAATGATTCTTAGGTATCACAGCAAGAAGAGAAAAACTTATTTGAGTACACAGGACCTGGAAGCAAATTCAAAGGAAAAGCACAGGTGATGTCTCCACACTCCTGCTCAGGCAGGAGTATTCTCCACAATTCACATTTAAGAGAGTGTGTTAATGTTTGACACACACACACACACACACCACACCACACACACACACACACGACTATTACCACACAATCAATCCCAGCAGTCAAATAACGCTTTCTGCTTTCTTATTTTGGGGGATCTCAACCTCAGGAGCCAGCTAACCACACACGGCAGATGCTGGTCCGTCTTGACCCAACAGTCACGGGGTCTCCTCATCTTCGTGACCAGCATCTGGACCACACGTGCGGATCTGACTTACAACTAAAATTCCTGCGGTGCGCGGGAGAGGTGCAATCTCGTCCCAAAGTAAAGGAGAAAGATTCAAAAGACTTAACTTTCCCCCAAATCCTGATTATCCTTCCAAACCAATCAACTTGAAGACACGTTTTATGAGCCAGGTATCATTTCATTCTTAAAAGCTCACTTCCATTTTTGATTGCCTGAAACATGCATGTGTTGGATAAATATTTTCTCAGAAGGCCAAGACGAGAGCCCTGGGATCTTCCTGAATTTTAAATTAAGCGACTACAGTAGTTCTCAGGGGGGAAAAAAACCCACCCCCGCTGAGAAAAAGGAAAGATTAAGATAAACAAGAACGCTGCTTTCATTGTTATTAGATTCCTTTCTCAAAGCACATGAACTCACTCTTCTGGTGGTTATTTGGCCACTAGATAAATTAAGATCCTTTTGATCTTTTCTCTCCTTCGGTGATATAATCAATATAATCAAAGGAAAAAAGGTTTGGTTTCAGGGTTTGAGCGCGGTGTGGTTTTTTTCTTTTCCTTTAAGAATGTAAAATAAAGATGTTTCATAGGGTAAACGTAACCACTTAACACCTGGCTATAGCGTTTTATCAACTCTAAACTGCTTTGACATGCTAATGTCACTCAGGCTTCACAATTCTTTGAAGCAGTGATTATCATTCCCATTGTACAGATGAGGGAGTTCAGAAGAGACAGTTACTTAAGAGTTACAGCTCTTCCCTTCCCAACATAGAAGGGGAAGAGTGCAATCCACAACGTCTGGCTCTAAGTCTAGAGCTAGGATTGGAGCTAGAAGGCCTTTAACTACTGCACGTCCCACCTCCATGCGCCCAAAACCCCAGGAGAAAACTCAGGTCCAGAACAGTTGGTCATCTAAAGCAGAGGCCAGCAAACGAAGACCTGGAGGACAAATCCAGCCCACTGCCTGTTTCTGTGGAATCCATGGGCTAAGACTGTTTTTCACATTTTTAAGTGATTTTTTTTTAAGAGGAAGACTATTTCACCACATGTAAAAATGACATGGAATTTGAATTTCACCGTCCATAAACAGTTCTACTGGAGCATGGCGCTCGCTCCTCTAGGGCATGGCCAATGGCTGCTTCTGGGCAACAAAAGCAAAGCTCAGCAGTGGTAACAGACTGCCTGGCCTGCGAGGTCTCAAGTATTAATAACTATCTGGTCCCTTACGTAAAGTTCGTGGACCCCTGATGTAAAGGATGCATGTCTTTTTGTGAAGACTAGAAAGTTCATAGCATGGGTAAATTTAAAAAACCTGTCTTCCCTGACCCCAGCTGCTGGAGATGCAGGGGGTAAATCAATCCTGTCCTTCAACAAACAGTTCTTCCAATTTTGGGAGGGTGACGCTCCAGCCCATCTTCTCTAGGCTCTGTTCCCTTATTTTTCTATTCACAAGGCACAGTTACAATAAGCACTTAAACATTTACTATCACCACATACCAGGAACCATGCTAAGTGTTGGAGATCTCATTTCTTTTTAGGTGAGAAAACAAAGGCTTCGCAGTCAGGTAACTCGCCCAAGTTCACGGGGCTGAGGCAGACCCGTGCTCTTACCATGCCAAGTTACTTCAAAAGGCAAAACTTTGAACCTCCTCCTCTGCCAGTATATATCCCTCTGGAATTGTGGAGTTGGAGGCCAAACATGAAACTTCTTCGATTTAGGCAGAACTGGACGAAACCAGGCAACTCAGGCCCCAGGACCTGGCTACTAACCTACCTTAGTGTTCCCGCCCCCCAGACAAGCTGCCAGTCAGTGCTTACTGACAACTACTATCATTTCTGCCTCACAAGTAATACCGCCTTGATTACAACAGTACAATTCTGTACCTTTAGAAGCAAAACCAGGCCTCCAGGAGGCATGTTAGATCAGGTAGAACACAATAATAACCACCACTTTCTGAGTGTTCTCTCTGGGAACCACCGGTATGCTTTACATGTTTTTTTCATTTAAACTTCACAGCTCTATGAGGTTAGCTTTGATCCCAATTTTACAGGTGAGGACACTGAGCTTTCAACGTTAATTTGCTCAAGGTGACAGGGCTGGATTTCAATACCTAGGTTTTCTGACTCCAAATCCAGGCTCTCAATCGCTATGCAGAACTTTCAAATATCAACTTTCAATCCTCATATATAGTCACAGTGTTGCCTACAAGTAAAGGATAAGTGAGAAAATTCACCTTGAAATATACTGACCACACTATTTACTGTCACCTCAACTCTACTCTTATAACACTTTTTTCCAAAACTAAAACTCAGAATCAAGAGTTCAGTTGTGCAGGTGTGTCATTTTTCTGCAATGTACTTAGTTCTTCCAACAGATGCTCTTTGAGGGCATGCACCATTCCCGTCCCTCCTCCCTCCCTAGCTCCCGACGGAACCTCCATAGGGTAGGCATTCAATAACACACTGAATGAACACAAACTTTGTACAAAATGTGACTTATAAATGGATGCTGCCGGGAGAAGGGAAAACCTGAAGGTATACAGTAAGCAAAGAAAGAACTAAATTTAGTTCATAATGCACTGGTGGTAAAAGTGCTGTCTTCAGAATAATTTTTTACACATGAGATACAACCTATGTATAAGGTGCTACCCTCACCCACACACTAATGGAACAAGTTGACTTATTATGTATTTATAATCACAAAAATGAATGACGAGTGAATACTCAAGCCTCAACTCTCAAAAAGTAGTCTAATGTAGAAACCAAAATCCCTCATGCTCTCACACTATGTACTTTCCCAACTGCGTGCCTTAGCCTCTACTTCTGGGCCTTTCCCAAACACAGCACTTTCCTTCCTAGACGGGAAGCTTCTTGAGAACAGGGAGTGTTCTTTTTTCCCTTTAGTACCCAAATGACCCAAGATAGTATCTTGAATACAGTAGGTCACAGCTAATGTGTGAAATGGTTGAACAGAATGGAACATTTTCAGGGCCAGCTAAGGTACACTGACCACGTACAATGTAAGGGGAGGCCAACAACCTCACCACTGATTCTCCAGAAAGCGGCCTCCTCCTGAGAACTTTTGCGAACACTTGCTTTTAAAACAACAAAAACTTGCTTTATAAAAAAGCAACAAGAAGTTGCTAGAAGGCTATCACTGTTGGCAACAGAGCTCCATCCTGTGCCAACGGCGATAATATATCCACAAGAGAAGACCCCTCATAAGGCTCACCTGGTCCTTATTAAGGGTTCACAGGGGCCAAGGGGCTCTACTCTTTACAGACGCTTCCTTAAGACCTAAACACCCAGGTCCCTAAACGCATCCAAGAGGTAAATCAAGAGTATGCAGAAGTTTTAGTCTCTTACGAAGACCTATTTACAAATACGTATACGCAACAGAAGAACCATTTGTCCAAAAGAACAGAGAGCCTTCCAAGCTTCTGTACTCCCAGGAAGTCGACTTCGCAACACGTCAAGAAGTTCCATCGAGGCGCACAAAATGTGCCTCAAGACCCAAACTGATAACCGCACCACTTGAAGTCGAAGCTGGCGGACCGATCGCCCACAACTCAGAGTTCCGAGGGTGCCCTTTCTCACTCGCACCGCTGCGGCGCAAATGAATGACGGTGTATCAGCGTTAAATTTAAATTTCCTGGCTCTGGCCACAATGCTAACCTAATTAAAGCATGTGGTCAACGCTTAGCCTTCTCGGTGCGATGTTGTGCATCGCTCAGACCAGCAGCAGAGTCGGGAGACAGTTGCACCCTTCCTCTCGCCCCCCCAAAACCGGAGGCAAACCCTCCCCAGAGCGCTCCGCCGAACGGCCAGGAAAGCGCCCCCGCGCCGCCCACGGACCCCGCCCGGCGGCGCCGCGGTCTCCGCACCCACCGCCTCGCCGCGGGCACTTTGGCTCCGTCCGAGGAAGTCGCTCGCGTCAGCGCTCCTGCCCCGCGGCCGGGACCCCCGGCCCCGCAACTCGAGCGCCGCCGCCGGGCCGGGGCGCACGCGCTTCCGTCCAGTAAACTGCGGCCGGGGGGGGAGGGGGCGGCGGGCCGGCCGTCGGGCGGAGGCCGGGCGGGGCGGCGGGGCGGCGGGCCGGGGGGAGGGGAGTACCTCGTACAGCTCCTCGGAGGCCATGGTGGGCGGTGGAGCGGGGGGCGCGGGGCAGGGCCGGCGAGGCGCCGCGCAGCCGGCGGCCGACACTTTGTTTCAGTTGGGTCCCTGCGTGGCCTGCGCTTCCTGCTCCGCTCGGCTCCGGCGCCGGTGGGGCGCGGACCGGCGCTCACTCCTGCCGGTGCGGGCCGCCGGCCGGGTTGTGCGCAGGAGCAGCTGCGCAACGCGCCCTCCGCGCCGCGCTCACTCCCCGGCGGGCCGGCTCGGGCTCAGGCTCATCGCGCCGCCGCGGGGCCGGGCCGGGCTGGGGCGGGCGCGGCGGCGGTGCACGGCGGCGCGCTGGCTCCGCGGCTCCCCCTCTCCGGTGTAGTGCAAAAAGCTTCCTACTTGCGACCGAAAAACCTGCCCCAGCTACTGAGCATGCCCAGTGCGGCCGCCCGGCCCGGCCGAGCCGCGCTCCCGCGCTCCGGGTTTTCGTGCCGCCCGCGCGGGGGGGGCGGGGCGGCCGGCGGGCGGGACAGCCGAGGAGAGCGGTGGGCCGCGCTCCGGGCGCGGCGGGCGGCCGCGGGGAGCCGGCCGGCAGGAAGGGGAGGAGCCTGGGATGTGGGCGGGGCCGCGGGAGGCGGGGGCGGGGCTGTGGGCGGGGCCAGGCTCGCCCCAGTGCCCTCCGGAGGTACGGCCGCGCCGCGCCGCCGCCCGCGCGCCCGCCTCGACGTGGGGGCCGGGCCCGGGGCGGGAGGGCGGAGGACGGCGACGCGCACAGGGGCAGGCACCGGCGGGCCCGACGTTGGGCAGTGGGCTGCGGGGGGCGCGCCGGCCCGCGTCCGCAGCCCGCCGCCCCGACGGCAGCGATGCGCAGCCTCCCTGCGGAGCGCGCGGAGCCCCCGCCCCTGCGCGCCCGCCGCGTCGCCTGTCCGGGCCCGGCCAGCCAGCGGAGGGCCGGCGGCGTGGCCAGGTGGAGCCCCCGCCGCACCACGTGTCCGCCTCCCCCGCGGCCGCCGCCAAGACCCGGAGCCGGAGCGCGCGCCCGCGCGGGGCCCGGCGCGCTCGGCACGCGTGCTCGGCGGCAGGCCGGGGGTGGGGGCCGGGGCGGGAGCCCGGCGCAGTCGAGGGCGGCGCGAGGGCGCGGCCGCCTCCGCTCGGCCCGCAGCTTCCCCCGCGCTGGGCCTCCCTGTTCCTCTCGGAGCGTCCGCCTCCTCCGAAGAGCAGCTGGGAGGAGGGGCCGGAATCCGGGCTCCAGGGAGGTCTGGGTTCCAATGCAACGAAGCTGTCAGTGGTGGTTCTCCTTGGGGAGGAACGGCGTGGACAAGCAGGCGACCGGCCCTCCCGGGGCCACAGCGATGGTCAGGCCCTTCCTCCGCTTGGCAGGGCAGAGGGGCAATATGGGGCCGGCCCGCATGGCTAGCTCACGGGGCACACCTGCCAGGACACTGGACGTTTACCCATCCGTGCGGAATGAGGAAGGGGCTGCCTGGCCCGACCGCCCCAAACAGCCGGCAACTCCGAACCTTCCTGCGCACAGAGCGGACCTTCTCTGCGGGGCACTGCAGAGACCCTGTCTCACGTTGTCCCCCACCCCTAGTCCTGGAAGCCCCCGCCAAACCCTCATGTCTCCCGGAGCATTCTCGGCTGCCACCCCGTTCCTGGTGCTCCCTCTGGCTCCAATTCGAAACCGAGCCCCTAGAAACCAGGCTCCTCCCACCAGTTTTCTTCCGAAAGCCCAATTCGATGGTGCCCCGTACGCACAGTTTAGTAACCACGAGGCTTTTCACCCACCCCGCTGAGCTTCCTGCCCTCTCCAGGCCCACGAACGAGCGCAACGCTTGCCCTTAAGTCACTTCAAGTCGAATCACCATTGCCTTCACGCCGGCGCTTCTGCCTGCGATTCCCTCTGCCTGGAATGCCCCCTTTCTGCTCTAAACTCCTGCTCCGACGTCACCTCCAAAGCAAAGCCTCCTGACTTCCAGGGCAAAATTAGTCACTCCCTCCCCAGCCACTGAGGCGCGCTCCGCTGCGGAGCTTTCCTCGGTATACTCAGTTCTCTACACTCTTCCTTCCCATTTCTACGCGATGACCTTCCCCAGATCTCGTCTTCCAATTCGACTCTCCAGCCCGCCACACCATTCTCTACCTACAAAATAAGTTTTTATTCAGTGAGTTGGAATTCCAGTGTCCACAGCAAAGCCCCTGACGCATGATACACCTCCGATTCCCATTACCAGATGCTTCGACAAGAGAATCACAAAATAAAGTCCTCACCTCCTCAACCCGTCCAGCCGCCCTCTTTGATGGCCCAGCCAGTTCTCTCTGCCCTCCTCCAAACATTAGCGCTTCTTAACACATTATTTGCTGCACCTGCTTCTCGTCTCTCTGGCCCACAAATTCATCAGCCTAAGTTGTAAGCTCCTTGAAGGCAAGGACTAGAAGTTTGTATAACCTACAAGTCTCAAAGCAATGACTGCTCAGTACTGCAAGTGCTCACAGGCTTGCAAGAGGTTGTTCAAAGTCACACAAGCACAATACAGCATGAGTAAGAAAAAAGGGACCCTCAGTATGAAACGAACAGACACATCTCACCTAGAAATCTATATACAATCCTAGACCGATGTAAATATAAAGTCCCCACTGTTACCAAGGGGAGGGGAGGAAAACAGGAGGATGTAAAGACAACCGCAGCTCTACTCAGATACTGAGCTAGTACATTGGCTATATATACAATCCTAACCTAAGGAGACTTCCCTCATTGTGGAAAAAAAGGGAGGGGGTATTACAGCATAAAAAAAGGTAACTCCAAAAAGTCAATGTACACGGACCTTTAATCCTGATGACCTGGGTTATCCATGCTGCTGTGATTAGCTGTCACCATCAGTAGGAACCGCGGGGTAGAAGTCAGCTGCGTAACAAAGCAGGAGCAAGCCATTCTCCCAAGCACAGGTCTACCTTCTCCTCCAGTGATTAGTCGGTTTCCATCTTAATTAAGAGCAAGGCAGAGGAGACCTGTACTAAAGTACTCAACTAGTGACTGAGAACTTGAGGTCAGCTGTCCGCTGTGTTCCTCTCATCCCCCCCCCCACCTAAAACACCCACTGGTTTATTTAATGCTGTTTTGCTTATGTATATATTTCACCTCGTTAGTTCGATTTGTCTTACTTTTAAGCAAATTCCACTCTCTTCCCTCACTTTTTAAATATAAACAACGTTTTATCAGTGCTCAGAAGCAAATTATGTCCAAGATTGTTTAATGGCTTTGAATTTATACCACTTTTTATGAAATAGTGAAGTTTTGCAGTAGTTACCATGACCACGTGTGTGGGTGCTGTGAAAGTACTTTGAGAATAAAAGTGCAATCACATCCCCTAAACACATCAAGGAAGACATCTTTCAGCACAACAGTTCGTACTAGTAAAATATACAAATCTTAAAGATTATAGAAATGGTTGAGAGGCAAGATGACGGACACATGCGATTAAAATACACATATACTCGTTCTAAGCTTCAGTTCTTACCTGATCCGAGTTAGTGGCGGAGACCAACGTGCACCAGTTTACTCCTTTTCCAAATGTATTTGAACGATTGGTATTCGACAGTCGGTACCACTCAAGATAAGACTCTTCAGATCAGGAGTTAGAGCCATTCCACGTCTCGGCAGAACAATGACTAATATCTTAAATTAAAGGTTCTTTCCTTTCCCCACTCAACAGCCCAACCAATCACTTCTTCAATGTTCCCAAGAATCTGCATTTCATCTACATTTGAATCCCAAGGCTCCTGAAAGGAGATGGGGGATGGGACTGGAAAGACAAAAGAAACGGAAAATCTAGCAACTCCTGCTCGCAGAGTCAAAGGCATTTTAAGGTTGGGTGACTGTGGAAAAGGGCCGATGACAATCCCCTTCAGCAGTTCTGCGCCCCAAAGCGTAATCTATCTTGGCTACCTCCACCAAAACCTAAAATTTAACTGCAGTTTTTATCAAGAAGTGACCCGTTTGTTTCTTTGTGCACACTTGAGGCCAAAGAAAAGTTAAATACCATTCTTGTTATAGAGCGGTCACTTCATAAATCTTGGGGAAATTGCTATCTTAATCACTTACTCAGAAGAAAGTAAGAAAACTTCAGGCGTGACAAAGCAAAAGAGAGAAGCACAGAAAGCCAGTCGTAAGGCGAATTCGGGTGCTAGGCCCTTCTCCAAATTTGGAGCCAAACAGTTCTTCCTTCCCTGAAAGCTTGAATTGGATACCAATAACCCCTTCTTTTCAAGACAACCAACAACCTCTGATTCATTTCAGCTGCTGCTTCCTTCCCTGGCCAAATCATCAATTTCCCCATTTCAACCGGCAACCTCTCCCTGCCTGCATCCATCTTGGTCCCAGGTATTATTCTCTCTTTTGTGTGGAAGCAAGTACTTAATCCAGCTGCCACACTGCTGTTTCCTGGCCAAACACGATGACGATTTAATCTCTTTGCCCAAGTGATAGCAGTTCTCAGACTTCTTCACATTCGAGTTCACCAATTTCCTCTTAGGCTGAGTGAGTTTCCACCACTGGCAAAACCTCATCAATTTACAATTAAGGATAATTTTCTTTCTCAACTAGATTTAGTGTTTAACTGCAACTCCTTTTTCTCTTTAGCTAACGGTGATTCTACCCAAAGAATCCTTGTAATATGTCTCTGTTGTACCTTCCTTTGACAGAAACAATCAAGACTAATGAAATTTTTCATTTGTAACTTTATACATTGTTCCACCTTCTGGAAGGAGAAAAATAACCAAAATTCATAAAGAGTAAATAGCCTTGAGACACTGCCATGACAGTCGGTTGACTTTATACCAGGGCAGTAACTACTTCATTTTGGATTCCTGAAAAAAACATCAAATGTAAATGTCCCTTGAATTATTGTGATGGGTCATTATGTTTGTCACTCGAGTGAGACCATCCCAGTAACCTCATTACCTTCTGGACTTTTCTAGAGAGAAAGAGATTATCAATCAGGGCAAGTGGGCAGAAGATGAGAGCAGACATTCTGGCTGGTAGCACCAGGTGCACAGGAATCAATGGAACCCAGAATATGCCCAGGACCACAGCAGGTGGAGGTTGAAACCTAAAGCAAAGAGTAAATGAATCTGAAAATAAAGCTTGAACCACACCAGCATATGGAAACAGCTACTGGGGCTTGATTGTTTTCAATCGCTAGTATTGCTCAGTGCAGAGGTTCTCAAATTGTGGTCCCCAGACCAGTAGCAACAGCTTCACCTTGAAACTTATTAGGAGTACAAATTCTCTACCACCACCCACCTACTAGCACCCAACAATCTGTTTAACAAGTTCGCCAGGTGATTCTGATGCACACTGAAGTTTGAGAAGCACAGGTTTAGAACCGTTTTGTTTCTTTGTGGTGGTGGTTTATTTTTTTAATTGAGCTACAGATTTCAAACCAGTAGTGGA